CACAGTGGTTAAAGTGCTCAGCTTCTAGCTGAAATGTTAGCGGTCTGAACCCACAGGAAAAAGATGACCTAGTCCATTGCCAGAGAGTCCATTTTGATTTATAGCAACCACGTAGGACAGAGTAGACATGCCCTATAAGATTTCCAAAGCCACGGATCTGTGTGTCCAGCAGAGCAGCCAGTGGGTTTTAGAGTGGACCTTTCACTTAGCAGCCGAAGGTGTTAGCTGCTGGACCACCAGGCTCCTCTATAAAGATTACAGCCTTCAAATCTTTCATGCAGATACAATGAAACAACAGCAAAAGCACTGAACATGCTAGTAAGTATATGGAGAAACTCGTGCGCTCCTGATCTAACGACGGGAAGGCAAAGAGTACAGCCACTCGGGAGAACACGGTGGCAGTTTCGGACACATGAAATATACACTACTTACCAGCATTCCCCCTCCTAGGTGTTTCTCTAAGTGAAATGAACACCTATGTTCATGCAAAAATCTGTAATAGGATGATTATTGCATTTTTATGTATAACCAGTAGATACTAAAAGCAGCTCAAACCTGCTCTTGGCTGTGGAATGGCCAAATTGAGGCCCGTTCATACAATGGAAAACAGTCCCATTATTCCTTTAGCAACCACAATAACATGGAGCGTTAATATGCATACCATCGATGTGTCTTACAAATTCTTTGCTAAGTGAAAATATCCAGGGAAAAAAAAGCTACATACTGTCAGATTCTGGTAAAGAATACAGCTATGTGGTTGCTGTTAGCTACCTTCGAGTCAGAAACCCTGCCAGGTCCTGGGCCATCCTTACAATTACTGTTCGGTTTAAGCCCATAGTTGCAGCCACTACGTCAATATCCTGGCTGACGATCTAGTTTACCAACCATGATGTCCTTTTCCAGGGACCAGTCTCTAGCTGAGCTGGAGTGGGGTGGACTGGCTACTCAGCACACAGCCATTTGAAGGGATGATGTAAACGCCCTGCATCTTTATTGTGATGGTGGTTATATAACTGGATGTTTGTGAAACTCACAGAACTATAAAAAGGCAAATTTAACTGTGCACTAATTATACCTTTATAAGAAAGAAAAACAGATGAGAGGTGGAGTCAAGAAGGTGTAAACACGTTTGATACACACACAAAGTACTACATTCTGTTCAGATACACATAATCCGTTTGCATCACAAAGACAATACAAAGGAGCGAAGACTACACACTATTCTACATCCTTCGGGAGGAAAACATGCACACACAAGTATAATTTAAAGATCTACTGCACACTCAGTGAAACAAATCCACAGTGTTCTAAAGCCACATGCTTTCTGGAACACTAGACAATTGAGAATCCCAAAGAATGACATACTATGAGAACCGTGGTTGAATTGTAACCGGGAGTCACTTATTTCAAGTATGCTCTAAATTTAGAGAACACAAATGCTTCTAAATGTCAGACATGTCTTGAAAACGACCACATGCGCGACAAACACTGCGAATGTTAACAGCATGGTAAGGAGCACAAGCTGCAGAGCCACGGTGTCCAGCCCGAATCCCGGCTCCGCCATTTGCTAGTGATGTGACCTTGAGGAAGCGACTCACTCTCCAGGAGTTTTATTTTCTAAACTGTAGAATATGGAACCTTCACGGGATGAACGGGCAAATACCTCCTTAAAGGGCTGGTAAACAAGGGTGTCACTTTGAATACTAAGGGGCACTTTTCTCCCACCTCAAATGCAAGCAGAATTTGGACAATGAATGAGCGCAATGAAGAAGAACGGATGCCTCTGAATTGTGGTGTTGACAAAGCAAGGAAATATTCCGTGTTCTTGGAAAAAGAACAAATAGATTTGGGGAGAGAAGAAATACTGCTAGAATGTTCCCAGGAGCAATGCTCCCTCGTGTGGATGGGGGCACTTTATCAAGGTACCTAGGGCATGCTGTCCAGGGGAACAGTCTTTGAGAAGGACATGATGCTTGGTGAAATAAAGGATGGGGGGAGGGGGCGAAAGCCCTCAAGATATGAATTGGCAGAGTGGGTGTACCAATGAGTTCAAAGGCTGGAATAATTGCGAGGATGTTACAGCACCAGGTGGCCAGTCACTATGTTGTACAATGAATTTGTTATCAATTTAAACTAACTCAACAACAATAGCAACAACAGACACCTCAGGAGTCCTGGTTGGGCCATAGTTAAAGTGCTGGCTGTCTACCCCAAAAGTCACTGTTTCGTGTCTATAAAGACTACAGCTTTGGAAGGCCACGGCGAAGAAGTTTTCATTGTGTTCTCCATGGCTGCTACGAGCTGGAGTGGACACAAGGACAAGGGGCTCCCTTTAGTAGTTTCTTAATACACTGTAGTGCTCAAGGGGATCAAGTTGAGGGCCGGCTACTTAAAGCAGTATTCAGACAAGGAGTATTAAATCAGATTCTCATTAGCTTACAGCAACGGATTCATTACGCTTCCGTATATGAAATTCTGCAATGGGAAGCTTCACTGCACTTCGACACACCAGATGTCTTCCTTAAGTAAATGAGGAGCTAGCTACAGCCGGCTTGGAATAGAAATCTCCCCGGGCAGCTGCTTCATTCATATTTTAGTCAAAATGAGTCCTCGCGGCTTCCTTCCTAAGTAGTGTGTGAGACAATGAGAATACAGCAGACATTTTCAACACCAGTATGGTTTTGTACGTTTCTCTCCCTGATGAACATATCAAAATGTATTCTCCTCTATGGATGCCTTCTGGTAGTTAGAAATTATCAGTCCTGACTCTTGTATTTTAAAAACACCTAAAGTAATTATAAAAAAGAAAATTCAAGCAAATCTGATGAACCCCAAAAGTTTAAATATCACAAAAGAATTCCACACTAATACCACGAGTCCCCTTCAATTTAGGAGACTTACATGAGTGACAAATACTTTCCTACTCATTAAAAATGGATGTAAACATTTCCCAACAATCTTGAATAACACTGGTTAAACATCATGGCCCAATTAGAAAAGACATTTAATACGCGTCTGTGACTTCCTATTACTTATAACCTGCTTCTTGAAATGAAGTCATATATAAAATTAGGATTCAAGATTCAATACTATTATTAACACAGACACCAGGTTTATCTAAATTAAATGTATTTTTAAAATCTACATTATCAGCAGAGGAGACATTGCATTAACATCTGAAGTGACTTTTATATTATATGCTACGGCCTATTTTGTTTTTGTTTCTAGACATGCAGGATTTTTCTTCAGGAAGTCAAAGCAATGAATTTGTCAGTTGAAAGGTTGGAAATGAAATGGGTTTTGTTTGTTTTGTTTTAAGATTGGGAAGCAACTACCCATCTTCCCACTGTCTAGAACAGAGAAAAACAGATATATAGGCACTAAATCCGTATCTTCTAGCTTCCCTTTTCCTACCCGATTTCTCATGTCTATTTTAACCTTTAGTTTAATCCCACCCTTTTGTTTTTTTGCATCAATCAGCTGATTTCTGTGTATACAAATAGAAGCTATGGAAAGGAACCAATGTTTACATGATTTGTGATTTTATATCCTAGGACTGGAAAAGGTAGCTAAAGTGATACCATCAATTACGAGGAAAATTGCTGGAGTGGATCTGAGTAGATGAGATTTACAGTGAAATTAAAACTAACAGTTTTAATTAGAGAACATCATCTGAAAGGACAACAAATGCTCTTGAAAAGTATTCAGTGCACCTGTGAAAAAGCATCACAATGTTGAATTTCAAACTGCTGCTACCTCTCAATTGTTGGATGTATTCATCATGAAAGATGATGCTGTCTGCTCCCACACAGATTAACAGCCTTCGAAAACCCTATATAAAACCCTATCGAAGGTTACTATGTGTCAAAATCAGCCTGATGGACGTGGGTGTTTGGGTCTCTATCCACAATGAAAAACCAACTATGACGATTAGGGCTAGGACATGCTTAGAGAGGAGTCCCTGGGTAGAGCAGAAGAATCCGTGCGGGACTTCTAACGGAAAGGTTGGCAGTTTGAATACACCCAGAAGCACTCTGGCAGGAAGACCAAGCCCTGAAAGGTCACAGTCACAGAGGTTTTCTGGTGGGCTGTTCTAGTCGGAGACACAGAATTGACTCAGGAGTAACCATCTTTTGGTTTAATAATCAACTACAAAAATAGCTGCCATAGTCCACTCCGAAAAGACCTGTCAGAAGCTGCAGCATCCTCGCCATCTCTATTACTGGAGCTGACGTGCCGATCCATCCCACCCAGGACCCGCTAGACCCTAATCCTGGCTCTCACCTTCAGCAACCTGAGGTCCTCCTCTGCTGATTTAGCCCTGCTGACACTGTGTCTTAATTTCCACTCCACTAATTATGACTCTCATGTTGTATGCACGTCCCTTATTACTGAAATAAGGCAGATTGTCCATTATTCCCTTATATGATTCATTACCGTCTCAGCCAGTGGTTCTCAACCTTCCTAATGCCACGACTCTCTAACACAATTCCTCATGTTGTGGCCATCCCCCCCAACCACCAAATTATTTTCATTGCTATTTCCTAAGTGTAATTTTGCTACTATTATAAACCAGTCGACCCCTGTGAAAAGGTCGTTCAACCCTCAAAGGGGTCATGACCCACAAGTTGAGAACCACTGGTTAAGCTTCATGTCAGAAAGGCCTTTGTTTTATATTCACACAATCATATCCCTAGAGCCCTTGGGTAGTGTAAACGATTAATATACTTAGCTGCTAACCAAGAGGTTGGAAGTTCTAATCCATCCAGTGACATCTCAGAAGATAGGCCTGGCCATTTACCTTCGAAAAGCCAGCCATTCAAAACCCCATGCTGCGCAGTTCTACTGCGCATGGGACCGCTATGCGTTGGAGCTGAGTCAGTGGCAACTGGTCTCATGATAGGTGCTCAGCATTTAGCTCAGTATTTAGCAAGTTATACGTTCTTAATAATCATTTCTTTTCAGGACTGCAAATGTTTGAGATATGTTTGTTTGGCATATACCACAATTACTCAAAATCTCATTATTTTTCAGGCAAAAATAAGACTATGGTAAGATTATAAACATAACGTTAAAATGTAAAAGTAAGAAAGGGTAGAGGAAGTATTTAAACATTCAGTGGAGGCTATCCCAGGCCGTATGTACTACTACAGTCTTTCAAATGCATCATCTTTCATCCTCACCACCCTTTGTGTCTAAAGCAAACAAATAAAGCTGTCCTCTTGATTTCTGCAGATGAGAATCGAGTCTCTGGATTTCAGCTCTGGTTTCTGGATTGGACTGATTAATTTATTTATCTTATAATAAGACAACATCCAATGGAACAAAAATGTTTCCATCTGGTTCTCTATTGTATCTCAGTACCCCAGAGATTAGGAAAATGTTGTGATCAGTTCAAATGTGAGTCTATTTGTACTCGTTACTATCTTTAGATAATAATTTATCTAATATGATCTTATTGTTAACGGTCACCTTCTCAATGAATGAAGAACTGATTTTTTATAATCAAATTATATATTTGATCAGATATTTCCAGAGCAACCAATCATACTATCTCTCTGAATCAGGTTAGTTTTAAGTTAAATACAATGGGAGTCTGACTTAGGTCCCTGCCATTCCCTGTTGGCTCTGAATTGCTATTTGCACTGTTTCTAGACGATGGACAGTGGCTGAAGAGCGGCATCCTGGTCTGGTAGCTTTTGCTATGCAATTGTTTTCTAGTTCCGCAAGAGTCTGGATGGCCAAGTACTAGATAAAGATTTATATTACTTTTAGGTTCAAATGATATGTTTTCCACTATTTCTTAAGTATCTGATCCTCAATATAAGTATATCATAGAAAAGAAATTTAAGCGTATCCTAACTATATTCACATAAAATGTATACCACGTTATTGTTTGATACCAATAAATCCTACAAAATATTTAGTGATGTACTTGCAACCAGTGGCTCCTCTTCCGAGGGTTTAAAGTAAAAGGAAACCTTCTCCAAGTCAAATAGTGCAACGAGTGTATCTTCCAGCATGGCTTGTTCATCTGTCTAGAAAGAAAGAAAGAAAAATATAAGGTTACATGATGTAACTATAACTTCATATCAAAAGTGCCTTTATTTAACCCTGTTGTTTACTGAGACACAAGACAAAAATATCAATACCTAAGATGCTATTGTAATGAACAGATGATCAAATTCCTCAAAATTACAATTCTTTTTTATAATTTCACATTTCTCTTTTGTCTGCTGCCTAAATTGTTACACACATAAAACTTCCATTGTTTATATAGCCAGAGTCCACAGATATGCATTCATTCATCATTTATGAGAAATGCAAACACAAAAACTATGCTAATAACTCTGAATTCTAAAGTCTTACAAATATAACAGCTCAAAAGCAAAAGTACTGTTTTATTAAAAAATCAAAGTGCATATTGGTCATTCTGTTTTACAATAAGATAACTGATGCATTATTCAATTTTCTCTTTATTAGAACTGTGATAAAAGCAATTTGCATGTACATAATGAATTTCCTTGCAAAGAGCCTGGGGGAAAGAAATATTTTCAGCTCACTGGCCTTTAGGGGGTCTAGTCTAAAAATATGTGAATATAAATTTTTTTTCTTATCTGTTAGGATATATTATTTTACAGTGGAGTCAGGGTAAGACCTCGAGAACTGACATGTACAGTGGCTGTCCCCATGACACCAAATTTAAGGTGCTAGATTATGGCCCCTTCTACTACTAGGCGTTCATATAGTCTGGTGTGTTAAGGGCTAAACATTTGGTTGCTAACCAAAAGATTAGTGGTTTGAACCCCTCAGTCATCCACAAGAGAGACACGCAGCAGTGGCCGTCTAGGACGTTTACAGCCTTGGAAACAATGCAGCAGTTCTCCTCTGTCCAATAAGGCCACTATGAATTGGAATCAATGTAAGGCAATTGGTTTACTAACAGTTAAGGGCACTATCTATTGGATCCTTTACTAATTTCCTCTGGAAGAGCAATTATACTTGAGCAAAGAAACTTTTCCTTTCTAGTTAAACTGCATTCCCTTAAAGAAGCTAGTATTCTTTTAGAAAACATTTGCTGTTAGATGCCAGTTCAAACCCATATACAATAGAAGAAACATTGCCCAGGCTCCGCCTTGGACCATCCTCACAATTTTGTTATGTTTTAGCCCATCGTTGGAGCCTCTGGATATTCCATCATATCTAGTCTTCTTTTTATTTTTTTATTTTTTGTTGCCTTTCTACTTTACCAAACACCATGTCCTTCTCCAGGGACTGGCCTCTCCTGATAACATGTCCAAAGTATGTGAGACAAATTCTCCTTATCCTTACTTCTAAGGAGCATTCTGGCTGTACTTCTGTCCAGGCAGACTCGTTTATTCTTTTGGCCTTCTACAGTACCTTCAGTATTCTTTGCTAGCTCCAAAATTCAAGTATAACAATTCTTATTTGGTCTTCCTTATCCAAGGTCCAACTTTCACAAGTATATGGGGGCAAAGGCATGTAACATGGCTTGCAACAAGTGTAACTTAGTCCTCAACATGGCATCCTTGCTCTTCACCGGTTAACAAAGTTTTTAAAGATTACTATGAGATCATACCCATTATGATTATTTTTTTTGGCTTCATTTTAGTAGAAAGTAAGGAACACCCAGACAAAGCAAACCGTGCATGTGCTCAACCAGTAAGCAGAAGCTGGGAGCACTGAGTCTCAAACTCGCCTCAGAAGAAAAACAATCACTCTCACTTCCATCGAGTCCAGTCCTACTCATAGTGAGCCCACAGGATGGGGTAGAACTGCCCCCGGGCGTTTCCAAGACTGTAACTCTTTGTAGGAGTAGAAAGCCACCTCTTTCTCCCTGGCAACAGCCTGGTGGTTTTGAACTGCTGACCTTGTGGTTTGCCATCCAACTCATAACTCATTGTCACCAAGGACCTGAAAGTCCTATGGAGCAGAGCTCTACTCTGGCGGCGTATGTGGGAGTCAACTCCCCAGTAACTCCTTTAGTAGAAAGTTGATAAGGGTGCTCCAACACAGGAGCACTGTTTACAAGAGCAATCCGGAAACAACCAGATGTCCATAAAAGGCAAAATGGACAAATAAACGTTGGTATATACACCCATGGAATGCTAAGTATTACCAAAAATAATAATGTGATTGCTAAGCACTTCATGACACGGATGGATTTAGAGGACATTGTGCTGAGTGAAGATAGTCACAAAAGGACAAATATTGCATGAGACCACTGTGAGAAAAGAAACAAAAATCAAGTTAATGGTTTTTCACACTGAAAGAGGGAGAGGCGTGGACAGTCACTAGGGGTGGGAGGAGAGAGGGCCAGGGAAGTGGCAGGCTGAAGGGCAGACGGCTGCGGGCAGAGAAGGGGAAGATAATAGTCTATCAGAGGAGGAAGAGGAAAATCAGGGGCGTGGGGGATAGCACAGCTTTGGGGAGATTCAATGCATGGTTGACATTGTTGAATACAGAAACTATTGGTGATCTGAATTGTAAACCCCTACCTTATTCATAATAAAAGTTAAAATATATCAAAATTAAGCATTTGTTTGACATTTTCTTTTTTAGAAACATTTATATTTTTTATCAGCTCCTTACTTCACGATACCCATTTGTTTGTTTCTTTGCTTGTTTTTACTGAAGTGTTATTAACGTGGAAGTCACGCAGTATTAAACCCACCGAAGCATCCAATTCAGGAGTTTTTCGTTTATTAACAGTTATACAAAGATTACCCATTGCTAGTCTTAGAAAATTTTAGAAAAGAAATCTCTATTCATTAGCACCCACTTCCCCATACCCCTCCTTCCAATTCACAGCCCTAGGAAATCATGTATTAACTTTCAGTCCCTATAGAGTTTCCAGTTTTGTATATTTCATAATAATGCAATGAAATACAATGTGGTCTTTTGTGACAGGCTTCTTTCACTTAAAATAATGAATTAAAGATTCATCCAGGTAAAAGCATATAACAGTATTTCATTCATCATTATGGAAAATTAATATTTTATTGTGAGGAATGTTATGTAACAGTGTGTTTATCATCTATTCATCAGATGATGGGCCTTTGATTCTAGATAATCTAGGAATGAACATTTGTGTACAAGCTTCTGTGCAGACAAGTGTTTTTATTTGTTTTTGTCATGTACCTGACAACAGAATTGCTGGGTCCTCTGGACACTGTCTCAGAAAAATAACTCGCTGCATAGAGTCAATATCAGCTCATAGCAACCTTAAAAGTTAATGCTTTCAAGAACTTCCAAACTATTTTCCAAAAGGGTGCACTATTTAACAAAGGTTCAATGTATTGGTCATTTGCCCATTGGGGTCCGGTAGGGGGTTGGCGCAAAGGGGGAGAAATATCTATTCAAATCCTTTGCTCAGTCTTTAAATGAGTTGTTTGCCTTTTTAGTGTTTGGGGCTCTTCACACATTCTGAAGGGAGCCCCATCAGTGCAGCGGTTACAGGTTGGACTGCGATCCGCATGCTTGGCAGTCCTAAGCCACGAACAGCTCCACGGGAGAAAGACTGGGTTTGCGACAAGTTATGGTTAACACGTTCAGGAACTGCCAAACTCTTTTCCAAAATGGTGCGTGTTTACCAAGTACTTCAACGCGTAAGTGAGCACTGACTGACTCAATGCCAGTGAGTTTGGTTTTTCGCTTTTAAACATTCTGTAAACAAGTCATTTATGAGATAGGTAATTTCCAAATAGTTCTCCTCTCCTTCAGATTTTAAGTTAAATAGAGTCTAAAGTAAAAGAACCAACACTTGATTTGATGATAGCAGGGGTTATTTTTCAAGTCAAGAAACTAGAAACTTTCTATTCATTCCTTCCTTCGATAAAAAATGAATGCCTACCATTTATTAGGATGTGGGTTGAGTAGACAGATATCTTCCCCTCTTATGTAATGTATTTGATAATTAATAAATATATATTGTATTTTTAAAAACATTTCCAGAAACACCTTAGTTCAGGTTCTTCATCAATTAAATCGTTTTTCAGGTTTATTGGCAACTATGGCAGTTCCATGGACTCACTCCAGGCCGCTAACCTCACAGGTACCAGCCTTTCCAAGGGGGAAAGACGAAGTCTCTGTTCCCATCAAGATTAAATCTTGGAAAATCGATACAAAGGGTCTACAAGTTCGAATTGACTCAATGTCAGAGGGGAAAGGAGAAATGAATCAGCCACGTGGCACACATAGAGCCTGGTTTCCAAAGAATCTACTTCTGCCTCCTCTCTGCAGGACAGTTCGATCAACTTGAACTCACCATCCCAAAGCCTTCTGCGGTCGTACAGTCACCTCTGTACTCGCGACACCAGGGAAATAAACCCTACTTTGATATATAAAACAAAGGACATTGGCACAGAACCAGGCAACATTTATTTCTGTGTATAGTGTGGCTAAGAGTCAGAATTGGCTTGATGCACCCAACAACAACAACATTTAAATAAATATTAAAATATCTCAGCCATATTGCTTGGTAGCTACACTTTTCCGTGTGTAGTATAATACATGAAAATAACATATTCTATTTAAAATCCCAATTCTAGTGAATGAGCACCTGGGGTTTACATATGAAAGTGAACATATTTGTCTTGTAACACCGTGACAGCTATTGGAGCCACAGTTCAGTATATAGGGGGGGTGGGGGTGGGGAACTCTCTGTGCATCACAATTATATCTGTGAACTCTTTCAAGATCTTTTCTTCAGATCCACTGGAAAACTGATGCTAAACATGGGAAATTCTACAGTAATTATAGCAATGTTCTTAGATTTAACAGGACCAACACCCATTCAAGAGGAGGCACTATAATTATTTAAGCTATGCAAATTTGCACAGATTGGCTGATAGGATGGCAAGGCAAGCTGTCTCAGCTGGTCTATCAAGCGTGCTTCACTCCCAATAGCAACGTCAGTGCGAGATTAGGGTTCAAGGCAGGTTGTTCCTTGTGTGCCTGGAAACGAGACTTTTCATGAAGAACAGTCCCGGAAAGGCCTCTTCCAGTCAGTCCTTGAAGATACAAGAATTAGGAACACACGGACGCTTTCTCAGCTTTCTAGCAGTCACCAAGAGTAAAGAATAAGGGACGACATTACACATTCCAGATAATGTATTAAAACTTGAATGGCAGTGGAAAAAGGTATCCTCTTGGAATAGCTGCGTGGCTGCGGACCCATTAATAGAGTAAGATAATGAGGGGAGAAACCCAAACCACTCCTGATTTAGCGAACACGTAAACAGCATCGTTGGGTCACAGTTCACAAAGGCTGTGGGAGTCACTGCGGTTCTTACCAGGTTGGGTGACAGCAGGGACTGAAAGTGAAACAGAGCACCCGCGGTCGCGATCTGGTCCAGCCACCTTCTGCTGGCTTCCCAAGTTTCCATCTCGTTGTCTTTGCTGTTGTCAAACATCTGGTTTAAGGCGGCCATAAGCTGCTCGGAGAAAGCACAGACGGTGGCTACGAGGCTTTGGCAGAAGACCATGTCTCTCCGGAGCTGCGTCTCACTGTCTGAGAGCCAGGAGAGAAGGAAGACAGATTTGAAGAAGGTCAGAGATGGATAAAGCCCATTGATCAAGCAGTTCCGTTCACACCAGTCTCATCTCCTTGCCGAACTGGCACCGTGTGAAAAAAGGCGGATTTCAGCTCTATGAATGAGCACATTATATTTTAGCAAATATGCCCTTTAGGAGACAGGAAGCACAAAAAGTATTAAAATATTTTTTTCTTAACTTAGTTGATGCTCTTATTCTGCAATCATTAAAATGTTTTATAAAATTTGTGGGATAATATAAGCCCTCACTGTTTATTTTCTTCTTTAAAACAAAAGCACAACACCATTTTCATATGCATTATGACACGAATCTCAGTCCACATTCTTCATTTGGGCTGACAAACGGAATCCAACATTATTAATACAAACATTTAAAAACTGCCTACACCTTCAATAGTAATTGGAAATGGACATGCAAGAAAGGCTAGTTGCTACCCATATGTGTGTAATAATAAAGAATTCTGTATCTCTTGAAACGAGTTCTTGAACCTCAAGAGCAAAAATATTTCCAGATTTTAAATTCTCTTTCTCTCCTCTTCGTCCCCCTACCTTTCTTGACAGCAGTTTCAGTATTAATTACTTTTTACCAAGTTTCTTATCTTGCAATTGGCTGAATTTTTAACAGGTCCACTTTAAGGAAAAGTTTACCACATGCATGACCATTCTGAGGACATTTTTCCCCCCCAAATGGAAAAAATCTGTGACTCCTGACCACACAGGGTTGGCTTCCTTCCTCTTTGGGTGGCTGAATATATATGAACCACAGAAACACCGAACCACACGTTTTGTACACTGAAAAGTCATTTTCAACCAGGTGAAAAGCAACGGTACATCAGAAGGCTTCAGTATACTGAATATTTCCAGGGCTCAACAAATGTTCTGGAATGAAGAAATACTGGCAATACTACGATACACTATACAAACAGATGCTGCTTTTATTCAGTGGTATATTCTTTCTTTATTGATAAAAGGCATCGTTTTTAACTTGCTTCCCAAGAACACAACATGTGCTCAATAACCATGTAAGATGTGTGGATATATAATGTATTTCCTTGTCTCTTGCTCAGTTACATTCTTAATATCTGTTGTAGTATTAGAGAAATTGAAAATATATAATTTTATGTTGAATTCAATTTGCTAATTTTATGGGTCAAAGACCGTTGCATACGAAAATCCCATATGGTTTTATTTCTTAATGGAACAACAACATGTTAGACATTCCCTTAAGTAGTTCTGCACCACGTGTCCCGCTCTAACAGATGTGGAAACTACCTTACATGGCCAAACTGGAAACAAACATGTCCTACCAACTCTCAATCAAGAAAAGAAGTAAAGTACCTAGTGGTTAGCACAGTTTATAATACAGTAAATCTTGAGTGAAGGAATGAATGGAGGAAAATGAACCCTAAAGACAATTAGGAAATTACTAGAAATGAAAATGCATTCCCTAACTACTACTACTACTACTACTACTACTA